CAGCTGTCATACTGGTTGATTTTAACTTCTTAGTATTTATTAACTTCGGTACTTCAAATTTATAAGTTGTTACAATGGATATCGAAATCAAGCACTGTATATTAATGCCATATCAGTAGTACATAAAAGGTATGGCCTTAGTTTATTTTTTTCCCTTACTTAATTATTCCCCCCTTCCCCCCTTTTCTTTGCCCCCCGAAGCCTCGTTAAGGTTGAATTCCTCTTCAATTTCCCTAACAGGGATGTATACAGTATATTTTCTTAAAAATTCAATCCTGAATTTGAGAAGAAAAAAGTTTTGGGCAAATAGTATCAAAAAGTTTTAAAAATCAATTCTAAAAAATATATATTCTGTTCCCCGCGAAGCTTACTGGATATTTGCTAAGTGTTTCTGTGGTGTGGATTGAAGTCAAAATTAATTTAAATTCTTCAAATTCTCACATTTGCTCTATATCTCCTCCCACCCTAATAGTGTCCCATTTATATTTTTATTGTTCATTTTAGCTGTAAAATGTTCCCTTACTTATGAAGCTGAAACAATGGTAAATTTTGCGGATTTTTTTCGGTTTTCATTAGGAGATTTTCAAAATAAAAATTCTGGTCGGTTGAGACGTTTTGATGCTTAATCTATATTTTTAATAATGTTATGACATCCAATAATTAAAACGGGAATTCTGAAATTCTGAGTAGTTTTTTAGTTTAATTGTGTAGGTTACAAAATAACGTTGACATGGAAACCAAGGTTTTTTATATCAACGGAATCTAAAAATGAAATCTTTTATAAAACATTATTTTATGTAAAATTGAGCAATGAGCATGGATTATATTAGGATTTCGAGTTAGCCAACCCGGTGACCCGCATTACTGAGTTCTAGTATTTGAGTCACCAGGGGGGGGGGGTCACCTACCCATGGGTCCGGGTGGGGGGGGGTTAAGTATCTCGGCATGTTTAGCTTTTCCCTAACATTTTACTCAGATGGGATTTCAGCAGCTAGATCCATAGTTTTTTTTTGATTAGGGAGAAAGGTCTTCAGGGAATTTTTAGAATGGATGACAAAGAAGCCCCCCCCCCTTCTTAAAAATGAGAGGTTCCCCAACATTTTCTATGTTTTTCAGTCAAGGTTTTATGAAAAGTAATATTTATTTAAAATGCTTAATGTCTTGTGTATATTTGTAAATATTATTTCTAAATTAACTCGCACTAACATTAATTACTACGTGATCGGAATGATAAGTTCTCTTGTAACGCCCCCTATATTACGCAATTGTGAAATAAATTAAAACTTGATTTTCAAGCTAAAACTATAGATAAGGCTAAAAAGTTAAATGCGCAGATAGGGCATTAAATATTCCTGCTCCTGCATAATTAAACAATGGGAAAAGATGTAATTCCTGTTTTTACGAACATGTAAATTTTTTTNGGGGGGGGGGGGGGGAAGTTACCCAGACAAAGGTGAGAAAAAATATGTTCCCATAATTTTTGAAGTTTGTTAAATTAAATACTTCTTATTAGAATGACGGTACAATAGAAGCCCATGGTGTGCAATTGTTATGAATACGTTTTGGGCAGGTTTATACGTTTTTAAAAAAGAAGATTTTTCCTTCATTGATTAATGAATTTTCTGGAAAATAAATCAAAAAACTGATTATTCCAGTAGTTATAAATGGCTTCAATTTCAATTTCTTAATTTTTTCTTCAAAATATGGAAATCATATTCAGTTTAGAAATTAGGAACAAGCAAGCGAGATGTAAAGAAAATAAACTTTAAGATCTAATAATTTTCTTGTCTTTTTTCAAAGAAATTTGAATCGAGTCCTAGTCACAAACTCGGATTTTCTTTGTAACCCAATGTCGTAGAATTTAGATATTAAGGACTATGAATTCTGTTCAAATAACTATTATAGGTTGCAAATATAACGGAATTAGAAAATTTTAGTTTGTGTTAAAATCAATCTAAATTTGGAATTAATTTTGTTCCTTTTTGAGAGGTTTTGAACTTTTGGTGGAAACATCATGATATATTATCCGCAGGTGGTTTAGTTGCTCAATGCTACCAGGTGGAGAGTGTAGGGGAGATATCGACCCCCCCCCACACTTCCACCCCATTCACTGGATTGGGTTATCAAAAAAAAACTCGAGCACAATATTTAAGTTAATTTATAAATAAACCTCTTCTGTATGCATACTAATAATAAAGCTTATACTTTAACGAAATATGGAAAAATAACATTTAAAATAATTTGAAAAATGTTATTTTTATATTTAAGAGAAAACGGTTTTCATTTTGTAAGAAATAAAATTAATCAAATGTTATTTTAGTGAAATGATAAACATCTGTTTTTGTATAAACATATTTTTGTCTTGTTTTTTGGTTGAATTTATGAAAACCGAGATAAAAGACGGTGCAGTGTGGGGTGGGGTGCGCTACGCAATTGTGAAATAAATTAAAACTTGATTTTCAAGCTAAAACTATAGATAAGGCTAAAAAGTTAAATGCGCAGATAGGGCATTAAATATTCCTGCTCCTGCATAATTAAACAATGGGAAAAGATGTAATTCCTGTTTTTACGAACATGTAAATTTTTTTTTATAAAAACAGTATTTAATTCCGTTCAGGACTTGAAATTAGAATCGTAAATTCTGAAATTTATAAACATTAAACAATTTAGAATGAATAAAAAATCACATTTTTTATCTCCACTTTTTTTTTAGGTAAGCATCCGCATGACGCATCTATTTTGCGAGTTTGATGCTCTTCAGTAAACGGCTGAACCGACTTGTGGACCCAACAAATAGAAGATTTATGAATTAGAGGAAATTATAAAATAGGTTTTTTGAAATCCACCAATGAAAACAGAATTTCTGCGAAAACTTTAAAAACTAATATTTTATAATAAATTCAAAAGGAGAATTTTCTCAAGTGAAAGTAATAATAAATTGTGTCTGAAAAGCCTTGTACAAATAAGTTTTTTCTTGTTATAATAGAATTTTTCCCCCTCAAAATTCTTGTAAGGCTTAATCTTGCATTAGTTTTTATCTGAATCATAGTATGGCTTCTTTTATGCATTTAAAATATAGACGTCATTTCTAAGCCTTCAGTGCATTTTTAAAAAATGCAAATAGGGCTTCTGTAGAGAGAGTTAAATTTCTACATTTTACATTTGAAATTTTTAAACATTTTTCTTAAAGTGCAATTCTGTCAAGTTTTTTGACATGCATTTTCTCTTTATGGAAGTTTTAAGGTTTTTTTAAATGATATTTTGTCCTAAGCTGTACCATGAAAGTTAATGCAATGTCACGTTTTTACATATTTTAATTTTTTCTTAGAAAGAATAACTTACCACAATAAGCATTCTTTTTTAATTTATTTAAAGAATCTCTTAAAACATTTGAATATACTAGGAATATACTTGTTCTTTTTCTTACAAAAATATACATTTGTACATTTTTTGAGTGAGTGGGTTTGAATGATTTCTGAAATATTTGAAGATCTCTTGAATGTTGAGTCCTGCTTAACGATGTAAACACTACAGTTTAAACATAAACAATTAAATTCATCAATAGATTGATTCACGGACATTTTTACAGGACCAGAGCTCAGTACGTTCTTAGTATGCGGTCTTTAATGCTCATTCTCAATGTGCGTCCTCATTCAATGCTCGTTCTCAATGTGCGTCCTCAATCTCCTGCAATGCGTGTTCTAAATGTGTGTTCTCAATGCGCTTTTCTTTGTGCGCTCTAAATGCACGCTATTAACACTTAAATTCTCCTATTTCTAGAAGTAATAAAAAAAGATTTCTCCACTTTAAAAAAATTTTTTTTTTTTAAATTTAGTGTTAACTGTCTTCTTTATTAAAGTTTTTGTTTCTTACCATTTTTCATTCACAAAATCTTTTCAAAGCTGGATATTTCAAAAAAAACTCTGAATGTTTCAGTTTTTAAATTAATAAATCACCAATTTTTATTTCATTCATTTTGAGATTTTGGGTGAAAATGTTTGATCAAATTTGTCAAATTGTGGGCAGCATGTCATTTGTTCCGCATGATGGTTAAGATCAAAATTGCATTTATTAGTAATACTTTTGTTTGATCCTGTGCCATATGTTGAAAAAAAATCAAAAATCATGCGATTTCCCCCAGAATAACACATTTTTTGCTCCTTACAGGGTTCGGAGATTTTCCACGGGGTTCGGAGACTGTTTCTGCAGGGTTTCGGAGACTTTTCCACGGGGTTCATGGCTGCTTGGCCTTCCCTCCCTCGGTAGACGACCACAAACGGGTTCTGCAAAGCAGCTTTGTCAAGCAGCTGTCATTTCTTGATGTAACAGCTGTCATTTGTGGACAGTTTCACAAACCATACAGAGAGATAGGGAAATCCTCTAAACAACCATGACGACTAGCAGCTGTTAACTGTACCGGCCCGGCATGACAGCTTCGTTTTTCTAACATATCTTGCACCGGTTCGACAGCTTATAACACGCAGCTGTGTACTGTCCCGTAGGACAAGCTGCGCAGCAGAAGTAAAGTCGTCAGTGGAGTGCTAACAGCTATAAAGTGAAAACCGTGTTATTTCTCAGGATTTTATAATTCATGAAAATCAGGCATAATCTTGCTTTTCCCCGAGTGGCAAGTGTTGCATGAATAACTTCGCTAAGAATTTGTAAGTTTATGAATAATAAAATTCAAGTTTCAACAAGCTTTTAGAATTTCTTTTTAATTTAAAATTATTGATTTGTTTTGTTGTGATTTCAATTAAACGCTAACAACTCCTAATAGTTTTTATGGTTGACAAAAGAACGATAGTAGATATATTTAAATCATTGTTACAATAGCTTGCGTGTGTTGATTTCATTTATTATTTGAAATTATTTTATTTTAGGAACGAGAAATACTAGTGAGAAATTAGTGAGAAAAAACTGCTTTTTAGCAAGTATAATTAAAATAGGTCCTTATAAGTGAAATAGTCTTAAAGTGATCACAAGTGAACTATTGGGATGAATCCACTGTGAAAGGTAAAAATTCCAATTAACACACATTTTTCAAAAATCGTTTTTTTTTAAATTGATTTTCTTTTACTAGTGAGCGTCCGATATCATATTAGATTATCACCAAGCGTTAAAGCCAAAATACGCAGATAATATCGATTAAAAACTAGCATTTTCTGCATGCAAATTATTTACTTAGCCTTAGCCAACTTTTTTAAGGATTCAATCTTTTTAAATCTTCCGAGTTGTACCGAAAATCGCAATCAAGAGCTAGGATCTAATATGTTTTGGGACACCTTGTATATTGTCGATTTCTACCTACTTTTCATTTCTCTATTTTTGCTGTTTTTGGTAATTTCCTAGTAAACGATTTTTGGAGCCCNGTGTTTTGATTCTTTTTACAGATTTATGTAGTTTTCATTTTGGACCAATGAAGTGTGGTAAGTTCGATTAACAACTGTACCCTTAAGCTCTATATGAACATTATAATCTTATTTTTAGAAATATATATTCTAGCAGACTGCATCATTTCAAGAGTTGAATATTTTACTTTTGGGGGATTGAATCAGACTTTCATTTCACACTTCACTTGTTGGCGCATTTTCAGCATTTATATCTGTCGAATATAATAAAAATAATTTCATTTGAGGAGCTGTAGATGTAATTTTTAAGTTAGTCCCTGTTGGTAGAGTGGCTTGTAGGACTCACAATGGCACCTTCGGTAGCTTTGTCTACTCAAGAATGAGCTTTACATTTTTTCATTTTATAACATTAAAAGTAATTTTCAAAATTCCAACTTTTATTTTAATTTATTTTAACTATAGCTTGGGAGCTAAACTTAAACTGGAGATTAAACAATTTTTTTAACCGAACATTCACGCGGTTTTAACGAGTCCCCTAATCAAAATTTGAGGCAAATCGGTCATGACTTATGATTGGACATAAAACACTACTGTTGACAACTATTGTTTATAGATGAACAACGTTCACATAAGTAAAGAAATTTAAAAAATAAAATAGAATAATTTTTTTTTATAAACATTTTATTTTTTATTTAGGATTGTATCGTGAACCCATGATGCCCGGGGGGCGAGGGGGCTACAACCCCTACGCGACAAACTCAAACTCCCACGCCATCAGGCAGGAGATCCAGAGGTTCGAGAGTGTTCATCCCTCGATCTATGCTATCTATGATCTCATCGATCTTGTGCCTGATCCTCATCTAGCACAGCAGATCAGAGAACATGTTGTTTGCATTGAAGGTAGGAAATCTTCTAAATCCGGGAAATCAAATCATTGAAAATGAAATCCGGGAAATCAAATCATTGAAATTCGAGAAGATCGGAGTCTGGAAATACAATGAAATCAAATTATGTACATCCGTGGAATTGGATTACAGACATACAAGGAAATAAAAATTGTGGACATCCAGGGAAACCATATTATTAATTTCGAATTACAATCTTTTAAATATACATACTGGTCATTTTTTGCATCAATATCATTGAATAATATTGCAGGGAATATATTTTCTTAAAAACATTCACCCCCACCCCCTCCACCCCTCAAAGACAATTTATGATTGCAAAGAATTTTTAAATCGCTTAACTTAAAATTTTATGAATTATTTTTAAAGAATATTGTATAATGCATAAGTATTTATTTATTTATTCTTTCTCATAAAGCTTTAAACATATTTTTTTCGGGGGGGGGGGGTTATTACTTGAAAAATAATAAAAAGTTTATGCTTTTTATTTTACTTTAGGGTTAAAATTTTATTTTCATAAAATACTGAGTATTAGGTTTGAAAACTCATTTTACCAAGAATCCTGAAAGTATGCAACTGCATATTCTGAACTGGAAAACATTCTTGATGCATTTCCATACATTTTTCCTGAGATAAGATCAGGGGCGTGCAATTATTCATCGAGAACTCTTTTTCTTTTCTTTTTTTAAAGGAGAGGTCGTTATCCTACAATGCATCATTGCATTAATTCCTTTCACATTTAAAAAAAAAGTTTATTCACTTTAATGATGTTTTTTTTCTTCTAAAAATGTTTTCTTTAAATCACATTTAACAAGGAATTTCCCTAAGATAGTAATGTAGTAAATCTTGAAAACAATTTCAGTAAATTTCAATTTGAAATGTTAAAGGTCTAGCAACCTGTTCTAATGCTATTTTAAAAATTTCAAATCGTTAAATTATTTTTAAATATTGATGTTGATTTTATTTTCTAATTTAACGCATTCATCTTAATCTTAATTCCATCTGAAGTTTTTTTAATTTCTCATCTTAAATATGCAACTCTGTTTTTAAGAAAACTGAATTCATGCCGCAAACTCTATTTTTTTACCTCTATTTCCTCAAAATTGGATGTTGATATTTCAAACTTATTCATTGTTTGAAATATCAAAGATGTGCCACATCAAGTTGCAAAGGAATTGAGTATTTGCCACAAACTCTGAATTTCTAAGCCATATATCGTTGCAACCCAATGCCGTAAACCTTAGATGTTTTAAACTTTGAGAATTGCAATAACAGTTTGAATTACACCATCGGTGACAAAGATATAGGTATTTGAAAATCAGAGGTAGTGGCAAAAAATTAATTACTTTACAAGGAAGATAAAATTAGAGTATGAGAAGAGTAATCAGTTCCTTTAACAGATTTTGGGTTAAGATAATTATAGTGGTAGATAATTTATATGTCGATCCTCTTCGTTGACAATTGTAAACATCTAAAACCCTCGCATCGTATCAAGCCTCATTTTCATTTGTTTTTGATACCCCGCCCCTTTTATGATTTAGGACGGGTAGCAACGCGAGCCCCTTGATATTTTTTCCACTCATTTCCCCTTTAAGCTTGAATACAGTTTTTGTCAACATTGCAGATGTACCCCTAAAGAGAGGGGGGAGGGGGGAGGGGGGATCTAAAATATACTCGGATCAAGGATGTACCCCTAAAGAGAGGGGGAGGGGAGGGGGGATCTAAAATATACTCGGATCAAGGATGTACCCCTAAAGAGAGGGGGGGGGAGGGGAAGGGGGGATCTAAAATATACTTGGATCAAGGATGGCTGTGAGGAAAAAGCGTAATTGATGTGGTTTTTGTGATTGAAAGAAATAGATTTTTGCATTCTTATTCACGTCGATACAATAGGATCTGTTCAGGCTTCAAATTAAATATGGATTAGGTATTTTTAGAACATTTTTACTTGATCATTTATATGGTTTTCAATTATTCTAGTTGATCATTATAGTTGATCATTATATTCGATTATTTTAGTTAATTATGCTAATAAAATATTCGAATAGATTATTCGAGATTATTATTCTGATATTTGATCATTCTCTGATTTAAAATGATTATTATTTTCTTATTAAAAGGGACTTAAAAAGTTATCGTCAATCGTCGACGTACATTTAATTCCCGACGATATTCTTTATTTCTTTATTTGAGCCGTAAAGAGAAAGATATCGTGATTTTTCTATTATTTCTTTATTCTGTCAAATTACCGTTATAGAGAACCAAGTATTAAAAGTTATCAATTTTCAGAGGAAAAGCAAGAACGTTTCAAATATTTTTCAAATGTAAATAAAACTTGAAAATATTATCTAACCCTGCTATCATGATAGTGCACAGTTCTTATATTCATGACTAATATTATAAAAGGATTACAGAATACAGTTTCAAGATGGATACACTTCGTTCTACTTTTACAGCACTGAGGTTTAACTCGTATATTATTTTCATATTTCCTCCCCCCCCCTCTCTCCTCCTTCATACATGGTATACAGGGTGTCCCAATAAACATTGACGAGTTTTTATGAACAGTTATATTACTAGTTAAATACTTTTATTAAGTTGAAATCTCTGTGTGTCTGTTTGTTTGTTTGTCCGATCATAACTCAGGAACCGCTGGACCAATTTGGTTAATATAGTTTCAAAGATGACAATTCCATGATTAACAACTTTGTTAATTTTTTTTATGAATAAGAAATTAAATTTATTAATTTAATAATTTTGAAATACAAAAGTGTCTTGAGCATATTTACTGTAGGAACTATTACTGGAAACTTTTACAACAAGAAATACGAAGCATTTTCCAGAATATTGATCAGCTTAAGGTGTCAAGGGTACCGGTGTAAATCTTTAAATTTGAAATTACGCTTACTTTAAAATGTGGTCTGTCACCATTTTGCCTGTACAGAGATATTAAAAATTAGTAATTTAATTCCATATGTTTCTTTGGACACCCTGTACGGCGGAAAAAGGAAATGGAGGCAAAGTCTATTAGGGAAATATCGTCTTTATATATAATCTAGTTTTTACTATTTAAACTACAGGTTGGTGTTCATAAACAAACTCCTGGCAATTTTAGGAAGGGGANAAAATGAACATTTATTTCAAGTAAGATTGATTTTTCAATTTCGAACATCCATAAACCTTTCCAAAGGTCATGTGAGATACCACAAAAAATTGAGCCGTTGTTTGAATACAAACAAATGTCAAATTTATGTTTAAATATTCCTTAAATTGCAGCATGTCTAATAACATATATTTTGAGATGTGTTTTTGTCATTATACAAGCGTCCGTTACAATAAAACATGGGCTGATTGCATTTACGCCTTTCCTAGGACCTTGGCATGGATATGTTAGGAATTTAGGAAGTCTTACAGGGATATATATTTTCTGGAAAAATCATCGGTCCTATAAAAAATCCTAAAAATAAGAACTCTGAGGTTAAAAGTAGCACAAAGGGTACAAACTTGCCAATTGATTTATATTTTGAAAGGGGGGGGGGTTGAAGTATCCCTAAAGTTTAAAGTTTTCTTGTGGCATACCACAAAAGGAATCCTTTAATTGACATTTTTCATATTATTTATCTTGTATTGTTTATTTGGAACAATGCAGTTTCTTTTAAAATATTATATTTCCGTGGAAATGCATTTTTCAAGTTAGATCTTAACATTTCAAGGCGAAGGGAGGGGGATCTCTTTGTGCCTCTGGTCTATTGTTTTTTGGTCGTGTACACTGTACACAATAGACCTCGCTTTATAAAATACAAAGTCTCTGTTTGGGTTTAAACCAAATCTAATCTTAATTAGGGTAAACTAAACTTTGATATTTCTATTGTTAAAATTCTCGGATTAAATCAGATTTTCAAGTCCAAATACTTTTCTGTCACCAGCCATGGTTTATTAGGTGCTGGTTTATAATGATGAGTGATCAACTAGTAATAAAACTGTATGATGCCTAGACACGGTTTATGCCAGGGAACACACAAACCAGAAACACTGTCAACGTTATTTCAAGCGAGTGACACGGCTTATTCACAATGGTACTCTGAAATTCTTTGCTGTTCAAGTATGAATTAGATTTCCATGTTTTTAAAATAAGAACATTTTCATTTGTGGCTTCTCTACACAAGTATTTCTTGCCTCTGAACCTAGGAGAGATTATCAAAATTAAACACTTCGAGGTTTAAAAACGACATTATCATTTAGTCTTGTGTTTATCACTAGATGTTTATCAATAAAAATCCAGGGATGAGATGGTGTTTCAAAAATCAAGTTTTTTTTAATTCGATTTTTTCTAAAAATTCCACGGGCAACGCCAGGCCTATTTTTTTTATTAGAAAAAGCTGAGAAACCATTTAAAAACTGTTTATATGAGAATCTGAGAACGTATGGTATGCTTTAAGAAAGTTGAAATTAACAGGGTGTGAACTGCATTAGTTAAATTATTCTAGATTTTAGAAAATTATATATTCACGGTTTGCGGAGTTTGCCAAGGTTTGCATGACTTTAGCATTATCTGAACAGGCACTTCGCTTCATTTATATTTTATGCTTTTCCCCTGCTGAAGTTTTTGCAAGAGGAAGATAAAAAGGACTGCCTTACATTCTGATTTACATCTTTGTCTCACGGTTGTAGGATGAATACTGTTTAAGCCATATTTTAAAAAGAAGAACCGAAAGAATATTAGTGTGGTGTTCCTTTAAGCAATATTAAAAAGTTTGGGCTCCTTTTTAGCAATATTAAAAAAAAATGTTGAATAGAGTCGGGCGGAGGCGGGAGGGGGGGGGGGGAATAAAAACTAAGATTACATTGAATATTTGGTAGATTTTTGGGGTGTTTTCCTAAATTGATTTTCTCTGCCAACAATAGCTTGGAATAATTAATACTGTCAGTGGTTGATAAAGGTAGCTAAACCTTAAAGTATTTAAAACAAAATGAGGTATTTGTTAAATGCTTGGG